TCTGTTAGCCAAAAAAGCCCTAAACATTTATCTTTTTCTCCTCTCAGCTCAAAGGTAAAAATCCAGCAATCTACAAGAGTAGCCAGTTACATTAAAAGAATGTCATGAAGGTCACATCCTCTTCCTTGGAGTCTGCAGACTCTGCCATTGCTCTGGAATGTGAAATTGTTTCAGAGAAGCTTGTTTCTTTTTCTTTGCCTGGATGCTTGTGGCACTTTTTGATCTGAAGTTCAATGATTTAATAATTCCCATTAAGTTTTGGTGTTTTTTTTTTTTAAAGATTTTTATTGGGGAATTGGGGGGATGGGAACAGTGCTGGGGAATTGGGGGAAGGGGAACAGACAAGTTGCTGTCGTTTTGTTCTTCAGTCTAGTTGTGGAGGACGTTGCTTCACTGGCCCAAGTTGGCACCATCATTGCGCTCTTCCCTGGCGAGGCAGATCAGTTGCCGGCTTCTGGACGGCCGCTCACTGCGGCTGCTGGCCTCTCACGCTGGCTGCTGGCTACATACGGTAGCCCATGGCAACCCACTGCCACAGGGACTGCAGCCTACGCTGTTGCCAGCGACTCACAGGCAGCCCAGCTCCAGGTTGAGCTGTTATTCAGCATCTTAGCTGTAGAGGGCAGTGTCACTGGCCCTCATATGTGGGATCCGAACCGGGGCCCTCTGGCATCCCAAGCGAGTTCTTAACCATCGCGCCACTCGGCCGGCCCTTGGTGTTTTTTTTTTAAGATTTTATTGAGGAATTGGGGGAGGGGAACAGCGCTGGGGAATCGGAGGAAGGGGCACAGCCAAGATGCTGTTGTTTTGTTCTTCAGTCTAGTTGTGGAGAACGTTGCTTCACTGGCCCAAGCTGGCACCATCATTGTGCTCTTCCTGGGTGAGGCAGATCAGTTGCCGGCTTCTGGACGGCTGCTCACAGCGGCTGCTGGCCTCTCACGCTGGCTGCTGGCCACACACAGTAGCCCTTGGCAACCCACCTGCCGTCGCTGGCGACTCATTGCAGCCCAGCTCCAGGTTGAGCTGTTGTTCAGCATCTCAGCTGTAGAGGGCAGTGTCACTGGCCCTCATATGTGGGATCCGAACCAGGGTCCTCTGGCATCCCAAGCCAGCTCTTAATCAACGCGCCACTCGGCCGGCCCCATTTTTCTTTTTTTTTATATAATTTTTTTTGAGAATTTTTTTTGGATTACTCATTCTTAAATGTAGGCAATTTCATCAGAGCCTTCTTACTGTTCAACAATAATATGGCTAATTTTTTCTCTCACTGTTCTCAAGGCTCTCTTTGAAGAAATTCTCTCTGTAGTGAGAGAGAATGACATGTTACCTATAGGGGAAAAATAATATGAATGACAGTGGATTTCTCATCAGACACATTAGAGGCAAGGAAGTGGCACAATATTTTTCAAGTGCTGGAAAACAGGAACTGTCAACATAAATCCAACAGAATTTGTCATCAGCAGACTTACCCTAAAATAATGTTCTCTAAACAAAGTAAATGATAAAGAAAAGAGCTCTGGAACATCAGGAAGGAAGAAAAAAACCACAGTAAGAAAATATTGTACATTGATAAATGCAACAGAGGTTCCTTTTCCTTTTGGGTTTTCTAAATTATGTTTGAATGTTGAAACAAAAATTATAAAATTCGGTGATGTGGTTCTAAATGAATATACAGGAAACATATAACACAATTATAAAGAAGGGAGGTGTAATGGGATATAAAGACAGGTAAGATTTCTGCACTCAAACTGATAAAATGATGACACCAATAGATTCTGGTTATATAGCATATACAGTATACATTATCTATCTATCTATCTATCTATCTATCATGATAACTACAACAACTACTAAGAAAGCTTTATAAAAAGATACACTGAAAAACACTATAACTAAATCAGAATGTAATTTTTAAAATGTTTAAATCCAGTAACCCACAGGAAGGTAGGAAAAAACAGGAAAAAAAAAAAAGCCAGAACAATAATGCATACATTAAAAAAGGGGGAAAGTTTCAAATCATTAATCTAAGGTCATTCCCCAAGAACTAGAAAAACAAGAGCAAAATAAACCCAAAGCAAACAGATGGAAAAAATAATAAAAATAAGTAGAAATCAATGACATTGAAAATGGCAAAACAAGGAATATCAATGAAACAAAGATCTAGTTTTTTTCAAAGATCTACAAAATTGACAAACATCTTGCAAGAGTAACAAAGACAAAAAGAAGACATGAGAGTAAAATCATAAGCAATCTTTTCAATGAATATGAAAACCAAATATCTTTTTTTTGAAAACAAGTATCTTAAATAAAACATTAGTAAAGAATTATATATAGTATATGTGTACTTCTATACACACAGACACACACAATGCATGCATTTGAATGTGTGTATATATGGACACACATACAAAGTGTTTGCATGAAGAATTATTTATGAATGAAAAGTCTAATCATACATTAATAAATTAAAAAAATTTATCTCAATAGGTGCAAAACATTGTTGATAAAATTTATGTATCTTTTTCAATTTAAAAAGAAATTCAACAAACAAAAAGTAAATGGAAACTCTTAACCTTAACTTAATCTTTAGAAAAAGATTATCTAACAATAATCTGTATTATACCTAATGGTGAAATGTAAGACTCATTCCCTTTAAAATCAGAGTGAGACAAGGAAGTCCATTATTTAAAAAAAAAAAAAAAAGAAAGAAAAAAAACCAAAAACCAAAAATATGGCTATATAAATTCTTCTTGACTTTCCATGTTTACTTGGGCACCTTCTGATTTGTTCCATAAGCACTTGAGATAGAGGCTTAGCTATTGATGACATATATTCTCTGTGCCACTATTCAGTTTCTTGGGAGGAGACTGAGGGAGGGAGGATGGTGGAGCTGTGCTCAGCCTGGGAACTTTCTCACTGAATTTGTTAAGACTATTGTGTCTGGGGCTGATTCAGCCAGTTAGGAAGGGTGAGCTGTTCTATGGAGGGGAAGCCTTTTTTAAAAAAGATTTTACTGGGGAATTGAGGGAGGGAACAACGTTGGGGAATCGGGGAAGGAAAACAGACAAGTTGCTGTCTTTTTGTTCTTCAGTCTAGTTGTGGAGGACGTCGCTTCACTGGCCCATGTTGGTATTATCATTGCGCTCTTCCTGGGTGAGGCAGTTGCTCACCGGCCATTGGATGGCTGCTCACGGCGGCTCTTGGCAGCTCATGCTGGCTGCCAGCCACTCACAGTAGCTTTACCGCAGCCCACTGCAGCTCTACTGCAGCCCAGCTCCAGGTCGAGCTGTTGTTCACCATCTTGGCTGTAGAGGGCAGTGTCACTGGCTCTCATGTGGGATTGGAACCGAGGCCCTGCTGCTCAGAGCTGGCGTCCCAAGCCAGCTCTTAACCAATGCGCCACTCGGCCGGCCCAGGGGAAGTCTTTAGATTTCAGATCATTCCCTGAATTCAGGGTCAATCAGCCACTTTGGGAAGAAATGAGATTAGCATGATCCCCTTTGGTTCATGATCCTTTGGTTTTGTGGGTTAGCAGGTTTATATTGACTACATATTCATCTGCAGTCTATAGCTTGCCTTACACCTCATCCACCTGTCAGAAGAATAAAAAAAAAGGCATGGCGGAGTGACTACATAGTTTGATGACTAGCTTCTTCAATCCTGCTGATTCTGATGGAGGAAAAAAGGCTCCAAATGATTGTTTCTGTCCTTCCTGAGCCCTCTCATGACTTCAGCCCTGGGTCCTGATATCAGACAGATTTTACAGGGCAGGCTCTTCAAAATGTCTTCCAACTGCCAACACTGCTCCATGTCCACCCAAGACTGAAGAGCTTAGGGTTCGTCCAAATTGAGCCACAACAGCTGACACTTCGAATTTTGTGCAAATTAGAGCCTTAGCATCAGTGTAGATGATTCTATTTTTATGCTTTTGTTCACTTCCTGTGTATGTTGTCTACCGTTTGTTTAAAGAAGGAATAAACTGAAAAACTTATTGCCTCCCCTAGAAAAATTCTTTTGAGTGTCAGATTTATAGGAGAAATTTCTTTTTAAAAAATGAATAATTTCTGCCTTCTAACATCTTAAGTTCTGAGCAAATTCAAACATGTGAGCACCTACCATATGCAAGACATAAGAATATAGAAGTTTAAAAACTCTTTTTCTGTCCTGAACAATATTATAGTTCGGTGGGGGAAGCAGGCTAAGTACACCAATGACCACAAAAGAGAAGCTCTTCAACTTAAAAACTTTCAATCTAGGAAATTTCATAGTTATTGGCCAAAGCAAAAACCCGTCAAACTCTGCCCGTCAATAGCAGTATCACTTTGCATGCACAAAAAAGGACAAACAGACAACCTATTGGAAGCCATCATGGTGGTTGGGAGAGGCTGCTAGGGGAACACAAAGGAGAAACACCCAAATCTGGCAAGGTCCTCTCCTGCCAATCAGAAAGTTTGGACAAGTCAAGGAAGTATAAGAACAACTTACAACAAAGAAGTTGGGACTGAAGACTTTCCTGCAGGACTAAAGGAAGAACGACAGGTTATATAAGGGAGAAGACACTCTTGGAGATGCTCAATCTATGTCATTAGCTCTTGCATTCTTTCAGACGCCACTCAACATCCACTGAGCAATAGAAAACCAATTTGCAAAGCACCTGAGTCAGAAAGAAGGTGACACAAGGAGATTCAGTTTTGTAGAGAAACATGATTTCATCTCTGATCTGAGATGTTGCTCTGGCTCCGACTGGGTTGGTGGCAGGCAAACCTGTGGGAGTCCACAGTGCCCCCAAATACTCTCCAGAACACCAGAGGTGAAAAATCATTCAACATGCTTCCCATCTCGGAGCCTTAGTGAAGCAGACTCAGCGGCACGGATTAAGAGAAAAATGTGCAGATAGTTTTATTTATTAGAATGCTGACCGTTGACTGTCCTGTTATCAAATAAAACATTTTTAGGAGATATGACAGTTTGCTGTAACTAGAGGTAGGTGAGTCACATACCTGTATTTTGGCCACATTCGCTTCTTGCTCATACAAAAATGATTTCCTAGCTTCGTACTCTTGCCTAAGGAGGGGTCCTGAGCTTGTGGCTTGAAAGCGAAGAAGCATATCTTCGGAAGCAGACCACATCTTCTCACGAATGTAATCTGCTGTGACTGCCTCAATAATGTCCTGGCAAGAGACATTTCTTATGGTTACACTTCACACATCAGGTGAAAGAAGCATAGAGCACAGCTTCTGGAAATTTTATCTTTCAGAAAATGATACGGATATCTCGTTCCGGCTTGGTTTAAAAACAGGTTTGACCAGCGCCAAGGGCTGAACTGGCTTAGCTTCTTTCTAGCGACATGAGTTGGGAATCCTCCAAACTTTATGCTGAGGTGGTTGGAGAATGCAGTTGCATGATCGCAGATGTACAGATGATGCTGGCCTTTGCCACGCGCGAGGCCTGAGCTCCACAGAGTGTAAAAGGCACAAGGATGATCACAGTAAGAATACGCATCACTCCTCTCTCACTAGAGCTACCAAGGAAAAGACTGCGGTGCCCATGAGGCCCGCGGGCTTCTCTGCCCCTGTCTTGCCCAAGCCAGAGTAGGCAGATCCCTGTAATAAGCTGGGGAAAATGCAAATTTGGGGGAAAATAAAAGACATGGGGCAGAAGAAAAGGGGTTTGGTAAGGAAAGATAAGCACTATCGTGGGCAGACAGGGGAAACTTAGAAGAATAAGAAAAAAGGAAGTAAGAGAATTGTGAGAAGTCTTTATGTGGACTGTGAACTGGCTTTACTTTTATGTTCTTTGAGAGATGCCAAGACTGGATTCATTTCTACAGGTGACACCTCTTAGCCTGTGTGACTGGAATCAATGGATGGTTAATTAAAAAAATTAAAAGTGAAATTATATAAAAAGATGCATAAATTCCTTTAAGAGAAGACATATATGTCCATTCACTGAATAAAATCAGTAATTTTAGATTGCTTAGATGAAATAAAATTTTACAGTGTAGATCCTCCACTTGTTAATAATCTTAGGCTGATGCTCAATTTCACAAAGTTATTTCTGGGACATCTCTGGATGTCACATGTACAGTTTTTGGCTCTGACTTTTAACCCTTCGATGCTGCTTCTTCACAGTTTAATACATCTTCTCAATTATAGCATATGGTTTTTTAATATTGTCCATAATTTCATTTTTCAACAAGTAGCTGTAGTAATTCATTGCCACAATGCCATTTTCCTGTAAACTGTGGGAACTTTGAATATTTGCAATTAGTTAATAAACTATATTCTTCGCTATCTTCTTGTCAGTCAGGATTTCTGGTGGCATTGTCAGCCCTTGGCCACAGGGTTTTCTCTGAGTTTTAGTAAATATGGTACTGTCCACAATATTGCTATACTGCGGTATCTTTGATGCTGGTGACTTTGAACAATTCTATAAGATCTTTTGTACATTTTTGTGTTCCATTTAGTTTTTTCAAATTGGAACTCAATTATTACCAGTATTTTTTCTTTAAACATACTACAAAGCCTGGAGCAAACAGCAATTTTCACATCTTTTGGGTCTAACTTTTGGTTTCAGGTGCAAAGTAATCTTGGTGAACATTCCTTCAAGAGTACTGCCCCCTGGGAAGCATTACTCACTTTTGAAAGGACCTATTATATCTGTGTTGTAGGTTGAGAGGGGGAAAGAAATGAGACATTTTGAATAACAACAAAGAAATTATCACTAATTGAGCTTTTGTGTCAAGGAACACCTGAAGATTAATTTCTTAGGATAATCTACCATCCCCCAAAATGCTGCAAAAGCTTTCTTCCCTTCCTGTTTGGTGTTATGTCAATATGGAAAAAATCCTGAAAGCTAACCATGCAGCCACATCCAACTGCAGTTCATGAAGACTTTGCAACATACCCAGCCTTCAAATAAATCAATTAGTCCCTCCCATTTACTTCCACGATCCAAAAATAGAAAAATAATCATTTATTTTTAATAGTACAGTTTTCCATTAAACACCAACCTCCTACCTCAATTTCTTTTCCTGTGAGCCATGATTCTTTAAGCAAACAAGATTCAGGTGTGACCCAGGAACTCTCTTTTGAGTCGACATTGTAGTAGTAATCATATTTCTCTTGAAGGGTGAGTTTGAGCCATGAACCTTCAGTAGACACTAAAGAAAAAAAGTGTGTTATGTTCTAGAGAGGAACACTGAACATTTCCACATAAATGTAGTTTCTTCAATATGTAAAATAACTTAATGAAGATATTTTTCACCAAGCATTCAGATAGTGTAAATTAAAATCATTAGAAATGACTCACTAAAATAGAATGCATGCTATGTATTCAATGGCAGCTCTCTGCTAAGCCAAACAAGAAGGAGAGAGCGATGGTTAATGCTAGCTCTGGATCCCAAACTTTTCATGAGGATGACAGGAGTCACAAATGGCCAACAAGAAGGACAAGCAAACAAGGGATTTATGGGGCTGGCCAAGTGGCTCAGCTGGTTAGGAGCTCGCTTGGGAGCACCAGCTCTGAGCAGCAGAGCTGCGGTTCAGATCCCACATTGAGGGCCAGTGATGCTCGCCCTCTACAGCTAAGACTAAGATGCTGAACAACAGCTCGACCTGGAGCTGGGCTGCTGTGAGTCGGCAGAGACGGCATAGGCTGCCGCGGGGCTACAGTGGGCTGCCGCAAGCTATGTGAGCAGCCAGCAGCAGGTGTGAGCTGCTGGGAGCTGCTGTGAGCGGCCAACCAATGACCGGCGACCAATTGCCTCACCGAGGACGAGCGCAATGATCATACCAACATGGGCCAGTGAAGCAACGTCCTCTACAACTAGATTGAAGAACAAAAACAGCAATTTGTCTACCTGTCTGTTCCCCTACCCCCAATTCCCCAATAAAATCTTTTAAAAAACAAAACAAAACAAAACAAAACAAAACAAAACAAGGGATTTATGCCCCTGGTAAATGTGAACACCACCACAGTAGACAGAGGACAGCAACGGAGAAGAACCTTCTGCTTAGAAAGCCTTCCTGCAACTTTTCTGAGTCGTGACCTACAAGGACTGTAGCTCATTATTTAAGGATGGTCAGTGATCTGCAGTAAACAAAAGCAGAAGTGGCTCATCTGTGCTGACAACTTTACCCGAAGTACTAACCGGCATATGTAAACACTAAGGTCACTAAGTTGGGAGAAGGAAAATTCTGATTCCTTTGACTCATCTTGCTCTACACAACCACACAAAATGAGTAAAAAACAAATGTTGGAAGGACTTAATTTGGGTGTAGGGGCATACTAGAAAAGAAATCTGGGCAGTCGAGTGGCTCGTTGGTTAAGAGTTGACTGGGGAGTGTGAGCTCTGAGCAGCAGGGCTGCAGTTCAGATCCCACATATGAGGGCCAGTGATGCTGTGCCCTCTACAGCTAAGACAGTGAACAACAGCTCGACCTAGAGCTGGGCTGCTAGGAGTTGCCGGCGACGGTGTAGGCTGCAGTGGGGCTGCAGTGGGCTCCCGTAAGCTACCGTGAGTGGTTGGCAGCTAGTGTGAGCTGCCATGAGCCATCGTGAGTGGCCGACTAATGGCCGGCGAGCGACTGCCTCAGCCAGGAAGAATGCAATGATCACAATAGCAAAATGGGCCAATGAAGCGGCATCCTCCACAACTACACTGAAGAACCAAAAAACAGCAACTTGTCTGTTTCCCTTCCCCATTTCCCCAACACTGTTCCCTCCCCCAATTCCTAGTAAAATCTTAAAAAAAAAAAACTATGGCAGCCATGGCTTAAGTTGGTCAATAATAATATCTCCTTCTTACCATCCATGGGCTACACTTTCTATTTAGAAATTTGTTTATTTTATTGAATGGTCATGTCTCCTGTCCTAGACCAGAGGGAACAAAAACAAAAACAATAAAAATAAAAAGCACTGACCTAGACCAAGCTAAGTCAACTATTGCCAAGTGAGAATTAGACGAAATGCCTTTATAGGTAAATCAAAGTTCAAGTCAATTTTCACATAGAATACTTAAATGGATTCAAATAACTAAGCAGATGTAACTTTATGGCACTTTAATATGTGTTGATTCTTTATTTGATCTTAAGTGGCCCTCAATAGTTCTAATTGTCAATACCCAGGAAGAAAGATATATATCTCTTTTCAAATGTGCAGTCAGACAGCTGTTACCTATTTAGAAGTGTTGGTCTACCAGAAAATATAGTGTACAGTCAAATTAGGATTATCACAAGTAATCATTATATTTTCAATTACCAATAGTTGTAAGATTCACAAATGCTTTCAGAACAATAAACACTCTTTTTAAGGCTACTCTCTCAGTGGGAAGGAAAGAAGGTAAACAAAGATGGTAAAATCAGGTATCTTCTCTTATTTGCATAAGAACTGAGAAGTAAAAAGGTCTTAGTTGGTTAACAGCCAACTACATAGGCATTAGAAGGCTTTATTTGGGTTGGGATATCAGTGGATAACAGGAAAAGAGAATTCTTGTCATTTTCTTATTGGTTGAACTTATAGTCAGAGGAAAGACTAAGGAGGGAGTCTCTAGCTCGCAGTCCGAGTATTTTTCCTAAGAAATGTAGTTGGTTTGTTACGTAAGGGAAAGACTAATTAAAAAGCCATAAAAGAGAAAGCTTCCAGTTAGTTAAGAGGTAGTGAGCATTCTGAAAGGAGGCATATTTTCTAGATGCCTTCCAGACAAAATTATGCCTATATATAAGAGCTAAAGCTGAGCTGTATGGGTTGGTGATCCACCTAAGAGTGGACACTTCAGTTTGGGAAAGAACAGACATCCTAGACTCACAGGAGAAACAGATGAGAATAAATCATCCTATTTACCCCCAAAACAATGTTCATAGTTCTATCTGAGGTTGGAAATCAGTCTTTTATTGCCTAGAAAGTGTTTACTCTTCCTTCTAGAACAGAGGTTGGCAAACTTTCTCTGTGACGGGCCAGAGAGTAAATGTTTTCAGCTTTGTGAACTCCATGTCTCTGATACAACTAACTACTCAGCTCTGTTACTGCCTCATGAAAGCAGCCATAGAAAATATATAAATTAACAAGTGTGGCTGGGTTCCTATAAAACTTGATTTACAAAAACAGGTAGTGGCTCAAGGAATCCACTAAAAGCCTATTAGCATAAATGAGTTCAGCAAGGTTGCAGAATACAAGATCAATACACAAAAATCAACTGTATGAAAATATGTCCATGCAAAAACTTGGACGCAAATGTTCATGGAAGCATTATTCAGAATAGCCCAAAGTGGGGGGAAAATCCAAATTCCAGCAATTGATATTACAACATGGATGAACTTTGAAAGCGTTATGCTAAGTGAAAGAAGCCAGACACAGTATGATGATTCCATTTATATGAAATGTCCAGAATACTTAAATTTTCTCACAAAATCTATGATGTCACCCCCGCATAGCCACCAAGTTAATGACAACTTTCCAAAAAGCAAAGAAGAAAAGAAACACCTAAAAAATTTCCTTTGCCATAAATGATAAAAATCATTTTAGAAGTGTTCATTTGAAAGCAATTATTTGTCTTAAAATTAAGAAAATACAACACCTCAGAAATCACCATATTCAAAATGATATTAAATTTGTGCTAAGTGATGAAAATGCTTACCACTTGTAGATTTTTGCTCTTTTTTCTTTGCCAGGGCATCATAGTACCTGTCAGCACATTCAGGGAGTATGTCATTTGTATTACAAACAGAAGACTTCAAAACAGACAAAATATCATTTGTGTTTTCTTTCTCCAAACACTGATTAACATCAACGACCAGTGTAACCCCTGGGTAATGAAAAAAAAAAGTTTTTTATGTTAATGATTATTTTCTACTTACCCTAGCAGCATGCAAAAATATAATTCAACCTTTTAGGAATGCACTAGTATCAAACCTTTTTACCCTTTGAGAGTATGTACCACATATGCCTGAGAGATAGTCACCGACTTACCTACTAGTTTAGGCTTTAAGAATAAGATCCCACAGAAGCAGTTTATTAAAAATCACAGTATTTCCTGGTTACTCTTGTGTGGTATTAAGTCGCTACATTTTGCTCACTGTGATAATCTATGAAATGGGGTGAATGCACACCAATAATAGATATACAGCTCTTACACAGGTCATTAATTAGTGTTTTAGAGCCCGTTTTACAAAGACATTTATTTATTTTAGAACAAGAAAAATGCTTAAAGCTATGGAACTCCTGATATTCTCCTGTATAGTACTAGCATACTTCCAGGATTGTCATTAGCAACCAAAATGAATGTTCTAGAAAGCAGTAGGTACAGCTGATGGATATGGGCATTGGAGTCCAGAATTTTAATTCTGGAACCAAATTAGACCTATGAAGCATTTGATCCCATTTCAAATTTCTGCCTCTCCCCATAAATAAAACTACAGTGAACTCCTGGTTGCCTGAAGTTAACATGGTGAGTTCTTTATTATTCACTTTAGTTACAGGTAAGAATATTCTGGCCCAACCAATGGACCTGGTTTCACAACCTATAAATGCACTGAGTTAGAAATGTAGAACAAAAAATGGAAGAAACTAGTATAAAATACTTTCTAGATAAAAAAAGATCTTGAAAAAAGAAGGAAGAGATGGATAGTTCTTTTTTTAAACACACACACACACACGAACACGCACACACACGCGTGCATGTCAAACTCTACCATACAAGTGCTAAATGGCGTACTGTTAAATTATGTTCACATGTGCATAGAACTATAAAGTCTCAAGGTGGGTTGTGGTTAAGTTCCAGATAGCTGAGGATGTCATATAAATGGGTCTCTATAAAATCAGGTACATTTCTGCTAAGAAACAAGAGACCTCCCATAAATCATCTAAGAGATCCAAAAACATGTTTGCTTTAAATCTTAAGCCATATATACCAGCAAACTTTCTCTAAGGCATGCATTCTCAAAAGAGGTTATATAACCCCCAATAGCACAAAAATTGGTTCTTGGGGGAAGGGGGTAAAAAATCTTTTTATGTATAAAGCACAGATCTACATATGGTACATAAAGAGATATACAATGTACCTGTGGTACTAAAATTTCATGGTGAGGACCAATTAGGGAAAATCACGTTTAGAAAGATTCTTGAGGGTGCAATAATGGAAAAAGGCTGAGAAACATTGCTCTGAGGAGTCAAAAGTAGAGACAAACCTACTATAAGACAGCAAGATGCTGCAGTGCAAATGAACATTGTGGCCAACGTGAAGGAGACCTGAGTTCCTCTGCCCTCTTAAATCTTGCCTGTGGTAAAATATATGAGCCAACACATTTTCTTTTATCAAATTATGTGGGAGTGGGTTTGATGCCTAAAACATGTGACCAGAATCTGTTTCAAGTCTTCAAAGGATGCAGGATGCTTTTAAAGGATTAAATTCCTGTTGAGAAACTGGAAACTGCTCATCTCAGTATCAGAATACACATCCTTTTTTTTTTCTTTTTTTTCTTTCAGAACATCTTTTTGTTGTTAGATAGCATAGCAGAACCTATATCAACTCTTTTGAGGGACAGGACAGAGGTAGAAGATAGCATTTTAAATGTGCAAGTGTGGAGTAAAAAAATCGCACATTTGAGAAAACCTTACTTTCATAGTCCATAGAATCATGAGTCTCAGTATAAAAAACAGAATCCACTTAACATTTGCTGGCCAAATGTAAGAAAAACACAGAATGAAAGGAATAAAATAACTTCTAAACTGGTTTGATTTTGAAGAGATAAATTGTAACCCTTTTCAGCTATTAGAGTGCTGTATCACAGTCTAATTTCTTGAGAAGTCTTTCTTCAAACTACAGTTGCCTTCAGTTTCGTATCTAAATTTAAATATCTTATGTACATTTCCCAATTTTATTTTATTTTTCTTAAGGATTAGAGTGCTAGAACAGAAAGACTTCAAAGATCCTAAGAGTATAAAAGTTCAGGTTGGAGAAATACACATATTTTTCCAGGCTAAGGAAATAAAAACCAGACGTTCTTCACAGATGCTTCAAAGTTTAAAACCACATTTCTGGAGCAAGACTAAGGCATCTCCACGGCAACCTATGAGCTGATAGAACAGGATAGATTCTAGTTATGCCATGAATGGACAGGTTAATGAACTACACTTTTAGGAATCTTATTTTAATTTACGTAGGTTATTCAACTATGGAGAGCATAAATCAATCTTGAAGCTATTTTAGGTTGCCATGTGAATTTTCATACTATTTCTTTATGAAAATAGAGGATTAGAATAAAATTAAAAAAAAAATCTCATTTGAGCCAATGTGGGGATTCTGCCAGTGGCTGAGTATGTCAATTCTAGTTATGCATTGGACAAGGGGGGTGGGGGTGGGGGTGGGAACCCCAGGGTGGGTTTGAGGACCCACCAGGCCCACTGTGAGACAGGCCTGAGCGGAAAACTCCATTGACTGCCTAACTTCCATAAGCCACTACTCTGACTGGGGGACCACAGTGAAGTTTTGGGTCTCCTGGAATTATTGTCAGCTCAGAACCATGGTCTAGTAATCCCTGAATAGTCTGGAAACTTCTTTCCCCCCCAGGACAGTCATCATGGTAAAAGGCCGTAGGCCTCTTTGGGGGAAGCCTGGGAGAAAGATGAACAGTATACAATTTTGATGGTGTAGCAGTGTCCTTTCTCAAGGAGCCTACTCGGCCTCCCCTTTATTCAAGGCGTCCTGGGTCTGTAAACTGGCTCAAGTCTGGGAATTGTTTGAGAGGCCGTGACTTTCTGTTTTTATGATTCAAGTTACACTTCTACTCACTTGACCTAGAATTCTTCTTCCTACTTGTACAAATCAAGTAAGAATTTAGTAGACTGTCTTTTTCACTTCTAGGAACACCATGTTCAATTAGCCAATTCCATAGTTGTCTGTGAATCAGATTATTCTGATTACGGTTTTGACTCTGCTGTCCATTGTAGTAATTCCATCCACTTGTCTTCTGGTGACTAAGTGCTGCCACCTTGCCTCTACTGGCCTCCCTACAGATTCTGGACTTGCCAGCCTCTCCACAATTGCATAAGCCAGTTCCTCAAAATAAATCTCTCTCTTTCTCTCTCCATATATATGTGTGTGTTAGACAGACAGTACATATACTAGATACTTTCCAGAGAAACAGATCTATCTATCATCTATCTATCTATCTATCTATCTATCTAGTTCTGTTTTTTTCCAGAAAAAAAAATGTAGTTCATTTCTCTGGAAAACCCTGACTAACACAATGATGGGCTTGGAAGGAGGATGGGCATTCATTAAGCAGAAGTGGGTTAGTTCCTTAAGGATTAAGATAAAAAAGGACTTGATTCAACTATCAGTGTGAGAGTTTAGAAACCATTTTTGCTTCCTGGATTTTGTTCAGCAACATTCTCAGAATTTGCTGGAGATAGCATCGAATCATCGAAAGTAGTGTAACCAATGGATCTTATTGTATAAACGTGCATTCAGGAATTAAAATGGGTAAGAGAGTCGAAGTCTTTTCAGAAATTAAAAATTGCATAATCTTTAAAAAAATTATGAATTAAAATAAAAATTAGAAGCATAACAGTTACAAGCAAGGCAAGCTGAGCCAGCAAAAGGAGGCGAGGGCTTACATTGTTTTGCTTTGTCCTTGTGCGTGTTGGCCTCATAGACTGCATGCTGTATCTCATCCAGCCAAAGGATTTTAGAAGTACTCACAGAGTCCTGGGAATATTGTCATAGGATAAAAGAAAGAACAGTGAATGATGATGAAACATAATTAGTAACTACTTCTTAGGAGTCATTTTATTATAATCCTCACAGCTCTTATTTAGCAACTACCAAGTACTGCCATATACTGTCTAAGCTACTAATGAACTAGACCCCCAATCCAACCATTTCTCCGTTCTCCACTCTCACCCCATTTAGCCAACCCACGATCATCTCTCAACTGGACAGTCTGCATTGGTCTCCTATTTGCTTTTGCTGCTTCCAAGTTGGTCCTCTACCACATTGGTCCTCTACAGAGAACCACCAGATAATCTCTTCAAATGACTTATCTCATTACACGCTCTTTGGCTTCAACTCCTCCAAAGGTTTCCCCTGCAGTTGGAAGGAGAAAATGCTCCCTTCCCATGGACTGTGGTGATCTAATGATCTGACCCTGCTGATCCCTCTGGCTTTAACCTCACATTCCTCTACTCCCCGTTCCAGGCCTTCACACCATCCTCCTTCAGATTTCCTCATTCTCCCCAGCTACGTGGCTGTTGGTTTTTTCTAATCATTCAGGCCTTAATTCAACCTCCTCTAAAAAAAAAGCTTCTCTGGCTACCTTTGTCAAATACTGTCTCCCCAATCACTGAATAACTGTGGTTCCCAAGGTGGCCCCAGAGGGCCATGGGATACTTTAAATTTGAGGGAAACACAATGACACTCAACATCAGATACGAGACAAAGATAAAACCAAAAAACCCCAAATATAAACATAGTGATTGTCCTCACAGAGCTAACACTTTAGTGTAAGAAACAGTTGTATCAAAAAATAATTATAGGCCAGCCGAGTGGCGCGTTGGTTAAGAGCTGGCTTGGGACATCGGCTCTGAGCAGCAGGGCCCCGGTTCGGATCCCACATGGGGTCCAGTGACACTGCTGCCCTCTACAGTTAAGATGATGAACAACAGCTCGGCCTGGAGCTGGGCTGCCTTGAGTCACTGGCGACGGAGTAGGCTGCAGCGGCCTTGCCATAAGCTACCGTGTGTGGCTGGCAGCCAGCATGAGCGGCCAGCAGCCGGTGTGAGCTGCCAAGATCTGCCATGAGCAGCCATCCAGAGGCCAGTGACCGATCTGCTTCACCCAGGAACAGCACAATGATAATACCAACATGCACCAGTGAAGCGACATCCTCCACAACTAGACTGAAGAACAAAAGGACAGCAACTTGTCTGTTCCCCTTCCCCTGACTGCCCAGCACTGTTTCCCTCCCCCAACTCCCCAATAAAATCTTAAAAAAAAAAGAAAAAGAAAAAAATAATTATAATATGTGATTAGGATAATATCAGCTGTAAATACACAATCTAGAGATAGCCAAGAAGAGATGAACTTACAGTAAGTTGGGGTATTGAATTTGCAGGGGGAGAAAAGACTTAAGCAGTTAAGAACGGCTTCAAAAAGCAAGTGATAGCAATGAAAAGGTACTGAATTATCTTTAGTATTTACTTTTTGGTTGCTTCTTATATCTTGCTACAAATATATAAATATAAAATGTATAAACTTGTCCAAGAGTACAAGTAAATTTTATCAGTAAAAATTAAATAATTTTGGGGAAGACAAGACATTCCATTTTAAAAAATGCGAAACTCCATGTGTAGGAATAAGCATCATGTACTAAATCCTAAAGCAAGATTGTGATGGACAGAAGGTAGCTCACTGGAGCCAGTTTCATCAGTTAGGACTCAAGATGGTTGCGAGGCAGGAAGGAGAAATAACATTCTCCAGCTCCTAGGGCAGGCTTCAAACCTATTTCCTTCACACACTAACATGAGATAATGTATGTGGAAAGGGCTCTGAAAATGAGACAAAATCTCTGTTACTTCATCCTGCAACATCTGGACTAATGGAGATCACTGCGGAAAGCTTGGCCCCTGCTTCTACAATCATTTCCAGCTAGATCTGCCATATGAGAACTGTCAGCTGTTAGTAAGATTTTCCATTTCTTGGCAGAATGAATGGGGGCAATTCAAATGGAATGTAGGATGAGAAGTTGAAGACTAGAGAAGGAAGACAGAGAAAGGGCATCAGGAACTATTTTTTTCTGTTTCAACGGCCAAAGAGAACCCGAACCCTCTCCCAAAGTACAGCCTAAAACTAAAACAATGAACATATAAGTTCATTGATGTACATCTCAGTTTTTTTGAAGGGTATTTACCAAATTCCTTCATAACTTGTCAGTGTCGAAGATGCACCATACAAACTTTTACCCAGATGAGAAGTTACAATCCCATTTCCAAGCTGACGGTATTAGTTTTATAAGCCAAATTGAAGAGAGACTTTGCAAATCAAATAAATTCAAGTCAACAATTTAAATCATGACTCATTGAACTAAAGAATTTGCTATAGTTAAATGCAAAACCAAGAGTAAAAAACCAAATCCTACCAACGTAACTAATCTTTTCAATTGCTCACCAGAAGGCTGGGAGTTTTATATTTACAGGATAGCCATGGCTCTACCTCCAGCTAAACAGCCAGGTTCAACACATGAGTTGCAAATGGATTACCTGAACAGAAACTAGGCCACATGCAAATCAAGTCATAAATTCCTGAATTTAGATGGCTCCAAGAAAATTTTAATTAAACAAAACGGTACCCTCTCTTCAACATTTTGTGGGGTTTTTTGGTTATTATTTCTACAATAAAATAGTGTTTTATGTCAGTTACCACATGTTATGTTGTTTGAAGCATTGAAGGCTGACTTTTGATTGTGAAACTTGGTGTGGTGAAATTTAATCAAGATGTGAAAAGTTTACACAGATCAATTCCTTCCTTCCATGTCCCTCAAGCCTTTAAGTCTCATGCGAAATTTGAATTTCCTGATTCTTGCTTCATGTTATAGGACACAGGCTGTGGGGCTGTCTGACTTAGCATTTAACCTTGAATTTTGTTAAGTATAGGAGAATCTGTTGTAGTACAGTATTTTTTTCCTCCATATTAACTCATATTCTCCAGAATATAACTACTCATAAAAACTGATATGTTACAACACTGTGAATGTATTTAATACTACTGAGTTGTGTTAATGTGTTAACATTTAATAATGGTTAAGATGGTAAATTTTATGTTATGTGTATTTTACCACAATTAAAAAAAAAAAGCTTATTGTAGACCTGCTCACCAACACCCATGAAATAAAGGGAGTCCTCTGCAATTCAATGTTGTATTATGATTTTAGTTTAAATAAGTGTTGTGATTCCCCCCCCCTCCCTTTTTTCCTCCCCCAGATTATCTGACCCTATTGAATGGCTCAGCAAAACAAAATACCATAAAACAAGTTCTGGCCAGGCACTGATGACAAATTCCGATCAATGTGACACTGATGAAGAATTTTCTAAGTATTATTAAGCACTTAATTTTAACTTCATAAAAAATGTTTACTTTTCATGATTTAATTTGTAATTATGTAATGAGTTTACGAATTAAGATTTGAAATAGCTGGGGGGATAAAGGAAAGGATAATTTCTGACAGCTAATTATTAAGTAGAAATCACACTCTGGCACCACATTTTTAAAATAGGTAAAATGAGATATGGGACAGAGTCAAAACTAACTGCTACTCAGCATCTATTTTCAGCTTCCTTCTGTAAAGGACTGTCCACTATCTGTATTCTTTCACTGCACATAGTATACTGGGAGGAGTTTACCAGCATCTATTCAGAATGGCTTGTTAGAGGTGGGTAAGAGTTAAATGACCTTCTCCGGGGATAATGCAGTGTGCTCAGAGGTTCAGCCTGAGTCATGCACACTGAAACACAAGTGCTGTCACACCCTTTCCCTGAAGAGGACCGGGGCAAGTTTCCTGCCTGCAGAGCAGAAGAGAGCACAGTTCTACAGAGAGCAAGGTTTCCATTTGCTGTTAACACGTGGAACTGAGGTGAAGCCGTGCTCCTTAATTTTATACATTTGATAACGTTTGGGAAACAGGACTCAGGTCATCGAGATGAAAGCCCTCATCTTTGCAGCTGCTGGAGTAATGCTTCTGTCGCCCACTTTTTGTCAAAGCGGTAAGCTCTTTTCTTACAGGGTAGGCTGGAGGTGCTGGCTTGTGTTACAAGAGTCAACTGAATCTATTTTCTTGGTATTTCACTCAAATTGCAACTCAAAAGGCAGAGTTGGATCTTAGTTTTTAAAAGATGGCATCATGGAAGTGAAAATAGCTATAGTTCGTTCACTCTACTCAAACCTTATCAAAGACTAAGTGTTCTATACTCATATTTAAAAATTTGTGGCACAGTCAAGATTTTAGATCTCTACAATTAATTCAAGAATCAATTTTCTTCGTGAGAAGCTTTTGTTTTGCAAGAATTTCCTCTCATTCAGCAAAGATAGCACTTTTAAAAGAGATTTTAAAAATCATATATTTATACCTTCTGATAAGGCATAAAGTGGGGGGAACCAGAATATTCCCAGAAAGAGTGAGTGGTCTGCTTTTAATAACCAATGATGCTAATAAATTAGTGTTTCTTAATGAAATGCCTTTTTTTAAACTTTCAGTGGTAGGAAGGAGTTCTCCCTACCTCCACGTATGATTTTAAAATTTTAGAAATGAAGTCTCCCAAACACTATTATTCAACTCTTAATGTGTTTCCTATTTTACTCAACACATCATTAACCTGAACCTTCCTGCTTGCTCCAAAATTAACAATAAGGGATAGATCCGTATCCACGCTTACTGTTAGGTCACACTCCAGTCAACATTATTAGGAGTGGGAGAGCTGGGCAGAGGAACAACGAGGGGGGGAAAAACCCCAAAATTACACAAAAAAGACCCAAACCTTTATAAAGGAATGTTGTTAAAATTGACAGTTGGCATCACCAAATGTGGTTGTAGGAGGGCGCTAAGGGAACCTATGGATAGTAGCACATGTGGGATTTATGAATAGTATTAAGTGCTATTTCTGGGAGTGGATGAACCAAAATGCAGCAGGATAGCAAAAGAAACGAGGTTTGTGGAGGTGGTTCCTTCAAAATGCTGGTGGGGTTTGGTGGAAGTGAAAAGTGGGGGATTCAAAGGCGACTGGGTACAAGGCAGTGAATTTTCTTTCTTCAGTAGGGGTGGGGGAGAAACGTGAAGTGGCTGAAGTCTGTTCCCTGTGGACCACCGTCTCTCCAAGACTTTGCCCAGGTTGAAAAACATTTTTGAAACATTATGTTGAATGGGCACCTGTATAAAGAATGCAAATAAATTTTTTTTAAAAAATGAAATTTAACAGTGAGCACTATTCTTAAGGAAAACCAGGTGCTAAAGCAAGGTTTCAAGCTAAACCAGGTCAGCTGGAATTCTCATGGAAAAGAATCAAGGCCTTTTCACTGTCAGTGTGTAGTATGTTTACAGCCATTTTGTCTTGCTCAACCACAGGAATTTTCTGAAAACTGACAAACGCTTGGTTTCAACAGCTCTCTTATCAGATCCTGAGGCAAACAACTCATACAGTATGTTCTTCAGCCACCATTTTCAAGCTTCGTGCCTATCTGGAAAGGCACGTCTCTTTGGGTGAACGTCAGACACAAGAATTTTCCAAAGTGCAAAAGTGAGCAGAAGGATCTTTTTGTGTGGCTCAACTCAAGTGTCACACAACAGGCCTCAACAGGCCTCAACATTCACATCTAAACATAGACACAAACCACCACCACTTCCCAGATTTTTCTTTCCTTTTCTTTAATCTAGTTTCCCTGGAACAACACCTGAGCACCGCCCTGCCCCTGCTTGTTCAGGCAGAACTCTCCATCTGGGTTACATACTGAATTCAGTTTGTGCAATCTCAGCGTGAGGAGGGAGGTTTCAATTTACCAGGGGTGAACTAGCAGAGGAGAAAACAGGAAGGGAAGCCGGCTTTGAATGAGAACCATGTAACTAAGCACTAACCTCAAGTATTCAACATATATGAATTCAGAGGTCATGTGAAAGGGAATTGGCAGAGAAATGGCATTTTAAATCAGTAAGTATGGGGTTTAAATTCAGCATAACATTGCTTAAGGTAACAGAAATTTGAGAGAATCTACTCTTTACATTTGTGAAAGATTAATTTATGGAAAAATTATATAATGATAAACAGGTTTGAGTATTGAGGTTTGTTTTGTTTTTGAAATTGCTCTTTCAAGAATTAGGATTATTAATATCAACATGCCATGTAAGGCCCAATATTTATAGTATGCAGTTGTGTTTCTATCCCTTTGTGTGTTTTTTTCCATTTCCAACTGCTCAGATCATCATATCAATTTCATCTTCTGATTTTTGCTCATTTCCTCTCCCCTTAAAATTTACATTACCCCTAAAATCTGCCTTTGGATGTTTTTTTTTTCCTCACATCTCTACCTAGGCCATCGGACCCCTCCTACTAAATTAAACTCCAGTCTCTATGCAGACTAAAAAAATCCGTACCTCTCATTTGGGCTCCACACCTAAGTCTTCTAACCTGCCCTGGGACATTCTACACACTAATATCCCATCAGCAGCTCAAACTCAGGAATATTCAAAACTGAGATCTTAGCTTTTTCCCCGTGCTGTCCCCCTGTGCCGTGGACCAGCCTCCTCCTCCAAGTCATCTAGAGTAGAAACCTCCAAGTCATTTTTCCTCCTTCCTCTTCCACACCACCTCCATGGCCAGTTGGATGCCAAGGCCCTTTGAGTCTCCATCAGAGTCTCATGTATTCATCTTTACCTTTCCACTGCCATTGCTCTAGTTTTGTAACTCACCATCTTGAGTTTAAAAGATTACTGTAGACTCCAAATCAGGCCCTTTGCCTCCCTCCAATTTCTCATCTTTTCAGTCTACTCTCTACACTATCACCAACGTCACCTTAAACACAAATCATATCATGGTTATATCAGTTTCCTATTGCTGCTTTTTTTTTTTTGAGTTATAGTTGTTTTTGTTTTTTTTTTGTAGAGGGCAGTGTCACTGGCCCTCATATGTGGGATCCGAACTGGGGCCCTCTGGCGTCCCAAGCCAGTTCTTAACCATCGCGCCACTCGGCCGGCCCTCCTATTGCTGCTATAACAAATCACCATAGTGGCTTAAAACAAAACATTATATTTCTGGAGGTCACAAGCCTGTTCATTCTGGAGGCTCTAGGGGAGAATCTGCTTTCTCGCCTTTTTCAGCTGCTAGAAGCTACTTGCATTTCTTGGTTCATGGTTCCTTCCATCTTCAAAGCCAGCATCACAGCATCTTCAAATCTCTCTCTCTTTGACTCTGACTCTCTTGTCTCCCTCTTGTAAGGACTGTTATGGTTAAACTTGGCCCAGCAGGACAATCCAGGATATTCTCCCCACCTCAAGATCCTTAATCACATCTGTAAAATCTCTTTTGCCATGTAAGGCAACATGTTCACGCGCTCCTTACATTAGCACGTGGAATCTCTGGGGCATCACTGTGCTGTCTACCACGTTCATTCCTCTGTTCATAATTTTTTATTGTACAATTCCTGCATCTATCAATGGACACATGATTTCTTAGGACAGTTTAAAGGCCCTTCAGAGATTTGGCTGTAACCTTATCTTTCAACTTCATCTCTCAGATGCACTTTATTAGCATAAGACAATACATTTTTGTGTATCTTTTCCAATACTAATCTGAGAGTTGAAAATAGGGATGGAGTTTATTTAAAAATTTATGCAATCAAGTAATTAATAAACATTTGTTGAGTTAACTTATCTGACATTCCCGGGTCCCATGCCCGCCCACAGTATGCCTTTGCCCATTTAACACTTACCAGAATCTTATTCATCTATTTAATTCCATCTCTTTGTGAACCTTGCTCATCTTTCCTTACATTTATCTTCTCCTTGACATTTGCTCAAACGCCTAAATCTGTTAACTATTGTCTGAGTGCTGATACAGTTTGTAATCAATATAACATTGGCCTATAATGATCTGATGGACTATTTTTGTTTCCTTCAACAGTATTACAAATTACTTACATGTAAGAAGATGTTATCTAGATTTTGCCCCTGCATGGGCTAGCAAGATGCTGGAGCATATGATATGCCTGTTGATTGCCTGAGCTATAATGATTTTTTTAAAAATAAAAATGATCCTAAATTTTAAAACTACAGAAATTATGTAGCATAATACATTTAGTTTTATTTTCTTCTGAACCTTAGATATGGGCCAGCAAAATACCATATGTTAATACTTCTTTTTAATTACAGGTATGGAAAATGATTCAGACAAATCAACAGAGCCAATGTTATCTATTAGGACCTTTCGTGGAGCCCCCCTCAATTCTTTTGAAGAGTTCCCTCTTTCGGCCATAGAAGGTTGGACAGAAACCATAACTGTAAAGATTAAGTGCCCTGAAGGAAGTGTTGCAACTCTGTATGTCAATAATGCCACCATGGGATATCTGAGCAACTCCTTAAGTACCAAACTGATACCCGTCATCTACATCCTGGTGTTCGCAGTAGGTGTGCCAGCCAATGCAGTGACCCTGTGGATGCTCTTCTTCAGGACCAAACCAATCTGTGTGACCATCTTCTATATCAACTTGGCGATTGCAGACTTTCTTTTGTGTGCCATACTGCCCTTTAAAATAGCTTATCATCTCAATGGGAACAATTGGGTATTTGGAGAGGTCATGTGTCGGGCCACTACCATCATCTTTTATGGCAACATGTACTGTTCCATTCTGCTCATCACCTGCATCAGCATCAGTCGCTATCTAGCCGTTGTCCATCCTTTCACTTACCGGGGGCTGCCCAAGCGCACCTACGCCTTGGTAACGTGTGGATTAGTGTGGGCTACAGTTTTCTTATACATGCTGCCGTTTTTCATCCTGAAGCAGGAGTATTATCTTGTCCAGCAGGACATTACCACCTGCCATGATGTCCACAACACATGCGAATCTTCATCTCCCTTCCAACTCTACTACTTCATCTTCTTGGCATTCTTTGGATTCTTAATTCCATTTGTGGTCATCATCTACTGTTACACAGCCATCATTCGGACACTGAATGCATACGATCATAGATGGATGTGGTATGTTAAGGCAAGTCTCCTCATTCTCATGATTTTTACCATGTGCTTTGCTCCAAGTAATATTATACTTATTATTCACCATGCCACCTACTACTACAGTACTGATGGTTTATACTTAATCTACCTCATAGCTTTGTGCCTTGGTAGTCTGAATAGTTGCCTAGATCCAATCCTTTATTTTCTAATGTCAAAAATTAAAGATCACTCCACTGTTTACCTCACAATAGTGAGATCATCTTAGAGAACAAGAAAAGCTATTATATTTGTGAAAACATACATTCTTGGGATAACATGCGCATAAGGGCAAGCAGCTCTATTTTCTAGCTCCACTTTTGAGTTCCTAAGAGATAGTGCTTCAAAATAAAATATTACAAAAGCAATAGCTATTTAGAAAAACTTTATCAGTATTTTAAGAACATCAGTGCAGGAGAAAAGATATCACCACTCTCTTAATGGCAACTGACACAATTTGCCTGACTGGTCCTTCATGCTCTTTACACCTTCATCTTCCCTACTTCTAGAAGTTTCTACTTTAGATGACTTGAAGGAAAATGGGACAAGGTGCAGCATGGGGAGAAGCTAAGATCTCAGTTTTCAGTACCTGGTGCCAATTTTGATTCTTCAGCCTCTCATGTTGGTGGCTGCCTCATTAGCTGATTCTATCTTTGTAATATGTCTCACTAGGATCCATCATCCTAGTCCTACCTTTGCCTTCCAACCCGTCTCTTTACTCCAGCCTATCTAGCCTCCATTCCATGGGCCACTACCAGATTATTCTTGCTCAAATGTCAGTTTGAATGCATCACTCAAAACCCCCAGCTCAAAAACCTCCATTGCCTCTCCACTGCTTTGGAATAAATTATAAATCTTTACTTTGGCATTCAGGGCTAATGTTCTAATTTTACTTCCCAATAAACCTTGTCTGTGATATGGGCACTCATCAAGATTCTTGTTTTGCTGTGATGTGATTTCTTCTCTCTCTGCCCCTGTCTCTAACTGGAAAGCTATTTCTAACATGTTTGCCTTAATTCTTTCCATCTCTTGAAGTCTTCAAAAGACTATTCCCTGATTCTCAAGCTAGAATTCATTTTTCTAATCTGAACTTTCAAAGCATTTTCTTGTATTTTTATTATGGCACTTATATACTTGTATAGTTCATGTATACACAAGTGTTAATTCCATAAACACTTAAGCACCATGTATAGTAGGGAAGGGCTCATCTTCTCCCTTTTTTGTGCTGCTGGTGGCAACCCCAAGTCCAAGTCTCCTCAGGGCCTGTGGGGCCCAATTCCATGCTTTATACATCATGTGGCCCAATGAATGAAAGAATAAAATCCCAAAGCATCTTAACAGCATGAAAGCTCATTGAATTCATACTAAGAAAGCAAAGTACTTTGTATGACATGGGACATGGGACAATATCATTTTTGGTTGGGCATGTAAAAAAAAAAAGGAAGCTAAGTTAAGAATATACTTTTAAAGTCACTTAGAAGTTTAAAATAACGCCTCCATTATTTTTGTTCCTTAAACATAGTTTTTAATGGGAAATGACATTTTGTTATAAATGCCCATTATGTTCCTGTAGGTAAATGAGTCAATTTCCCTTAGTTTAGGAATTAAACAGGAAGGATATTAGTGGTTAAGGGCATGAAGAATTGCTGAGATAAATCTTCAAGTTTGTAGAAATGTGCATTGACCATATACTCTGTAGTGACTATTAAGGCAATAAAAAAACCATTTCATATGCATATTTTTGAATGTGTAGAGTTTCCTATTTCATTTGACTTAGGTTAAAAAAACATGCATGTGAAGACCTTTTCTATGTGTGTGTGGTTATGTGAAGAATGAAATTCAGGTAAATACTAAAGCAAGAAAGGGAAACAAATCTAAAGTAAGTTTTAAGATGATGAAAACTTCAGTGGAAGGAATTTGTTTCTGCAAATAAAACCATCGACTATAATACAGTTTTATCAGGGAAAACATGCAACAATATTTACTTGTTAAGAGCACACCTGATTTTTATGCAGCAAATATACATGTAGCAAAATAGAACTTTTGGGAGGTATCATTCAGATGTTCCAAGCAAAGCTTTCAATTTTAACATCGCTCACAAACTCACTGCCTCCAGGGAACAGACAACAAGTGTTCTCTGCTAAGTATGTGCCAACACACCCATTACCCAGACTTTCCCCAAGAGATAAAAAGAATTTGGTGCCTACAGAAGGTTATACTTGAAATACTATTAACAAGGACCAAGAATCTTCACTAACTTACATCACTGTCATCAATCTTTGATAAAACTGAGCGTCCATTCTATGAAGATATTATCATGGAGACCTTTAATGCTGTGTACTTTGGTACAAGCTTTATTGTATACTGACGATACCAATAATATAAGTTTCTTCTATTATTTTCCAAGGCTGAACATAACTGGAAACTTCCCAATATCAAAAGAGCAGAGGTAAAAAAAAGGAACACAGAGGGCCGGCCATGTGGTGCATTGGTTAAGAGTTGGCTTGGGAGCGCTGGCTCTGAACAGCAGGGCCCTGGTTCGGATCCCACATGAGGGCAAGTGACTCTGCGCCCTCCACAGCTAAGATGGTGAATGACAGCTTGACCTGGAGCTGGGCTGCTGTGAGTCGCCGGTGACGGCGTAGGCTGCAGTGGGGCTGCAGGTGGGCTGCCTGAAAGCTACCGTGAGTGGCTGGCAGCCGGCATGAGCGGCCGGCAGCTGGTGTGAGCTGCCAAGAGCCACGGTGAGTGGCTGTCCAATGGCCGGTGAGCAACTGCCTCACACTGGAAGAGCGCAATGATAATACCAACATGGGCCAGTGAAGCAACATCCTCCACAACTAGACTGAAGAACCAAAGGACAGCAACTTGCCTGTTCCCCTCCCCCAATTCCCCAATAAAATCTTAAAAAAAAAAAGGAACACAGAGACCCCACCAAATAAACAGAATCAGATTCCTGCCCCCCCATCCCCCCTCCCCTCCTCAGGGGAAGAGAACAGGCTGAGAAAAGAAAGTTTCAAAATTAATGACCAGAGAAAGAAAACTGTTTAAAAATAGAAATTTAAGGGCCGGCCGAGCGGCCCAGTTGGTTACGAGCTTGCTCAAGAGTTTGAGCTCTGAGCAACAGTGGTTCGAGTTCCGGCCCAAGCTGAGCAGCCGCTGAGCTGCCAACAGGTGGCAGGATGGCTCAGCTAACAAAAAAAAAAAAAAAAGGAATTTAGCCAAATTAGACTCACAACTTGGAACTGTAGTGTTTTAAATCTGTCAGCTGTTGCCAATATAGTTCAAGACCCTAATTTTATTGGCCAAAAGTGGTTTAATGCCTGAACTAGAACCCAGATCCCTAGGCTTATCTTTAAGGCTGTAATTATACTAGTAAAGCTATTGCCTTCATACTCAGGAAGAAGGCCCAGCAGAGAGCTGGCACTGTATGGGCACTCGGAGAAGGCTTCTGGGTTCCCTGGAGAGGTTTTATGGAGTTCCATCTTGATCTAGAGCCCTGAGATTGCAATGCTCTGGAGGGGACCTCCACTGCCTGCCTATGAAAAATTTGTAGAGTCAGGCTCACCTCAAGGGGAGACCCCCATGTGGCTATGAGCAGTGAGGAACTCAGGTCTATTTCTATACTGTACACAGAAGATTCCAACTTTGGTTTGTGGATGGAGCTGGGCCTATGTCTAGTAAGGACCTCGTGACACAGATGTCACTCACCCCTTACCTGTGTGGCAGTCAGAGGTGCCCATAATAACACTAGCTACATAATGTAAGCACTTTTTTTGGGTGTCAGACTCCATGCTAAATACTCTAACACTCATATATAGTCATAATCAATGTAATTATATATAATTATATGTTGATATGCATTATATATCAATACAAAAATATATTAATTTATTATATTATATATTATTATTGAATTCTCACCATAGTCCTGTAAGACAGGTATTATTTTACAACATGTCAAAACTGAAGCATAGAAAATTTTTGTGACTTGACTAAAATCCCTAGTTAATTTGTGGCAAGGCCAAGATTTGAATGGTGCCTTGTCTTCAAAACAAGTAACTTGTATCTTCCAATGCTGGTGAGTGTGCTATGTGCCAGGGCCACAGCTACATCAGTGGGGACAGCAGGAGGCGGTCCACTCCTCCTTATCAACTGGGTCTCCTACTCTCCTCCCGCTGGGATGTGGGAACACAAGGCTTGGATTGAGTCTCATTCCCCCACTCATAGGCCTGGCATTCAGCCCAAGCCTCAGGTTCATTCACAATAGATAGGAGAACACCCACTCCCACAGTGGAAGATTTCTGCGAGGGTATCTGTAAAGCAGAGGGGGTAAGGCCATGCTCCTGTCATCCCTATTGGAAGCACCCACCTTCGGGAACAGTTTTATTCACCTTTAATGAGGCAGTTTAGGAGTGTGGAGTAAACAGAATTTACACTGTTTTTTTTTTTTCTACTTTGAGTGAATTTTTATTAATTTTTTTTTTGCATAGGTAATACATGGCATAAAGTTAAAAAGATTAAAAAGTATATCTTCTTCCCTCACTTCTCAATGAGCTTCCCCAGAGGTAACCACTGCTGTATGCTGTTGGGGACTTCATGTTGCCAAAATATTTCTCATGACTTGAGATGAAGGTAGTTGCTTTGAAGGGAACACTTAGATTGGAGCAGAAGGTCCTGTTCTAGAAACTAGACTAAGTTACTGGGGGAATTGGCCCTTTGTAAGTTGTTTACACTGTTTTCTGAAAGTTTAGAAACATTGCATAAGTAATACATGCATGCACTCTGTAAAAATTTTAAAAATCCGAACAGTACAAAAACAGAGTGAAAAATAAGTCTCCTATTTATGCCAGCCTTCTATCTAGTTCACCTTCCAGAAATATTTTATGCATATATTTCTCCCATTTTTATGTATGTGGAATCCTGCTTTTTTCACTTAACAGCATACATATTAAAAATTGTCTAATATAAATCCATGCATTTTCTTTTATGTATTTCACTGTATGGATATACTGCAATTCATTTAACCAGCCCCCTCCTAATGGACATTTCGGTTGTTTTTGGTCTTTTGCTATTGTAAACAATGCTGTAATAAACATCCTTTTCCATCTGTCTTAATGTTCTATAATATGTGTTTCTGAATCACACAGAATGGTGCATATTCACAGAACTAATTACTTTTTGGGTAACTTTGGATAATTTTGTCTTAGTTTCATTATCTGTGAAATGGTAATAACGATAGTTCATAAGGCTGTTGTGAGGATTATGTGAGAATATGCATAAAGCACCTAATATCATGCTCGGCAAACAGCAGCCGATGAATAAATTTTTGCTCTAACCAAAGCTATGTTTCCTGTTTCAGATGAGGCAGTTTCTGGGTTTTAAAGACCTATACAGAGGAGACGTTCACCCCTTCTGGGTTTGTTTGGTAGCTATGAGTGGCTAGGTCCCAGGTAGCATCACTCTCACTCTCAAATGACAGGTCACACAGCCTCACTGCTTATTCCAGAACCTTTCCAATTAGTGGCCAGTGGACTCCTTATAATATCAGTACAAGCTCCACAGCCAGATAAAACCCTCTGCTCTTTGTGGGACTCTGGCCAGGTCAGTCTCCTCCTATGCCTAGAACAAATGCTGGTATCCATTACCTGCCTGTATCATCCTGCTTTCTACCCACCTAACCAACACGTTTTTACCTTTCAGGCACAGCTCCTACTCTATCTCCATGCCAGCTTCTCTTAGGATTCTAATCCACAACAATCCCAACCATCTCTGAATCATTCTGTACACTCCTCATTTTGATACTTTGCCATATGCTTGCCTCTACTGTTATTTAACTAGTCTACATGAGAATGCCGACTGCCTCAATACATTTCTAAGCACTGAGGATAAGGACAGAGAACATTCAAATGGTATCATGTGTTCCTTGGATCTCCTTTCCCTTACCAGATGCTATATATCGCACTACGCACCTAGTACATGCTCAGTAAATATCCAATAACTTGGACTCTGAACAAGAACTCACCCACAACTGCGTTTTTAGTACAAGAGTAGAAGCAGTAATCAGCTCGGAGCTGGCTTTCCCCTAATGTTTGATGCCAGGAAAATCATCGCCCTATTATTATACTTCCATTCTGATCCATAGGCGATTGCTTCTATGAGAAGCTCATACGCTTTAGGAAAAATGGTTTAAAAAAATCCTTCTTTCTACCTTTTCCCTCACCCAACCTGTAAATTTGAAAGAAACAAACCTACTAAGACTTACCATGAGTTTCTGTGATTTAGCAAGGTATAAAACATCCTGGTAGTGCTGGGCATACTCTGGGTCTGGGTCTACATCTTTAATCTTTGCAGTAGGTAACATCAGACCTTCTAGAGTTTTGACAGGATTCCCTTCATCAATAGCTTCATTGATATACCCTACAGCCACAACTCCTAGAAAAAGAAAAAGTTTTCCTTTTAAGTCACAGTACATTATAAGCTCTTGAGAATTACCAATTGCAAAGATTGATTTGGAAAGGGAGGGAGGAGAATCTACACAAAAAAACTGTAAGAGCTAATAAACAAGTATAGCCAAGGCTGCAGGAGAAAAGATCAATGTACAAAAATCAGCTGTATCCCTATACACTTGCAAAGTGCACTCTGAAATGAAATTAAGGAAAAAATTCCACTTATAATAGATTCCAATTACAAGTACATTATAATTACAAAAAGAATGAACAGGAATAAATTTAACAAAAGAAGCATAAGAGATGTACAGTGAAAACCATGTAACACCATTGAAAAAAATAAAAAATGACCTAAATCAATGGAAAAATCATCTCCTTTTCATTGATTGGGATACATAATATTAAGATAGAAATACTCCTCAAATGGACCTACAGGTTCAATGTAACCCCTACCAAAATCCCAGCTGTCTATTTTTTTGTAACAGAAATTGGTAAGCTGATTCTATAATTCATATGGAAATGCAAGGGACCAAGAATAAAAAATACAACATTGAATAAAGAACCACTATGCTGTAATATACACCTGAAACTAATACAAAATAATATTGAATATCAACTATAATGAAAAAAATATGTAGTCATGGAATGTAAAGTACAGCATAGGGAATATAGTCAATGGTGTTGTAATAGCTATGTATGGTGTTAGAGGGGTGGTAGACTTGTTGGGGTTATCACTTTGTGAGGAGTGTAAATGTCTAATCACTATGTAGTTTTGTACATCTGAAACTAATAATGAAAAAGAAAAAAAAGAACAATGTTGGAGGACTCTTCCAAATTTCAAAACTACAAAGCTACAGTTAATACTGCATGGTACTGGCATAAGGATAGGCATATAGATCAATGGAATAGAATTTAGAGTTCAGAAATAAACTCTTACATTTATGGTCAACTGATTTATGATAAGGGTGCAAGATAATTCAACAGGAAAATAGCAGTCTTTACAACAAATGGCACTGAGTCAACTGGATATCCACATCCATTAGAATGAAGTTGTATTCCCTATTATCACTCCACATACAAAAAATAACTCAAAGTGTATCACAGACCTAGAAGTAAAAGGTTAAATTATAAAACTCTTGGAAGAAAACATAGGAGTAAATCTTTGTGGCCTTGAATTAGGCACTACTTTTTAGCGATGATGCCAAAAACACAAACAACAAAAGAAAAATAAATAAATACATGAGATGTTATAGAAAATTAAAACTTTGTGCTTCAGAGGACACAATAAAAAAAAGTGAAGACAACCTACAGAGTGGGAGAAAATACTTGCAAGTCCTGTATTTGATAAAGAACTTAGATACCTGTATGCAACTAATGCCAAATATATAAGGAACACTTACAATTTAATAATAAAAAGAAAACCCAATTTAAAATGGGTGGACTTGAATAGAATTTCTTTAAAGACATTTCTTTTAATAAGCACATGAAAAGATGCTCAATATCATTAGTTATTAGGAAAATGCAAATCCAAATCACAGTGAAATACCGCTTCATACCCAGTTGGATGGCTATAATAAAAAAGACAATAAAAGAGGTGTGAAGATGTGGTAAAATTGGAATTCTCATGCACTGCTGGTGAGGATGGAAAATGGTACAGCCACCCAGGTAAACAGGCAGCTCCTTAAAATATTAAACATAGAATTACCATATGATCCAGAATGTCCACTTCTAGGTATATACTCAAGGGAACTGAAACCACATGTTCACACAAAAGCTTGCACATGTATGTTATAGAAGCAATATTCATAATAGCTAAAAGTAAAAACAACCTAAATATCCATCAACTGATGAACGGATAAACAAAATATAGAGCCATAGAATGAAATATTACTTGACTTAGAAAGGAATATGAAGTATACTGATACAACATGGATGAATCTTGAAAACATTATGCTAAGTGACAGAAGCCAGACACAAAAGGCTACGTGTTACCTGATTCTATTTATATGAAATGTCCAGAAAAGGCAAAACCAAAGAAACAAAGTAGATTAGTGGTTACTAGGGGATGGGAGGAGGGGAAAATAGAAGTGACTGCTAATGGGTATGAAGTTTCTTTTTATGGTGCTGAAAATGTTCTGCATTTACATAGTGGTGATGGTTGTACAACTTTTAAATAATAAGAACCACCATAAAAACACCAAAATGGGTGAATTTTATGGTATATCAATTATATTTCAATGAAACTGTTATAGAGGGGTGATAACTTTACATAAAAGTAGCAGCAAAGATGCTAATTTCTTGTGTAGGCCTCACTTAGATAGTAATGCCAAGATATTGGATGATGTATATATATATATATATATATATATATGAAAGATATATATATATATGAAAAATATATATATTTATATATATATGAAATATATATCTTTCATATATATATATGAAGATATATATATGTATATATATAGATGATATATATAGATGATATATATATATAGATAGATGATGGAACCAGAGACTACACGAGCTGAAAGATTGAATGTAGACATATACAGAAAAACAAACAACTGAAGTGCAGGGAGGCTTGGATATACATTCTATTTTTGGGATTCCTTTACTTCATCACTGTGTAAAAAATGCCAAAACAGAAATAGTTAAAAAATCAAACAATTCCATACAGTGTTAGAGTAAATTTCCAGATCAATACAGTCCAATACTGTCCAATGGTATGTTCTATGATGGAAATGTTCTGTATCTGGGCTATCCAATATGGTAGCCATTAGCCACATGTAACTATTAAACATTTGCAATGTGGCTAGTATGATTAAAGAAGTTAACTTGAAATTTTATTTAATTTTAAGTGGTTGAAATAGCCATACACGGCTGGGAAGTATAGGAAGGCTCCATAGAAATTAATACAGTCATGCATATTTTGAGATATATGTAAAGTTCAAGTATGGCTAATTAATATCACAAATTGTTTCTCTAATACCACCGGGTAAAATAACATCGGGAGCTCTAAATCATGGAGGTACCAAAGGAAAAATAAGCATATCCACCAGTTTAATCTTCTATCATCTCTATCACACCACAGGATCTTAGGACATAGACTATAAGTTCCAACAATGAAAAGCACAGAAACCAAGGTATGGAATCTGAAAAGCTTTTATGGAATTTTGAAACGCTAGCAAAAGGGATCTATTTGGAGGCCACTTCTTTTTTTTTTCTTCTTGTTCTTCATTCTTTTTTTTAAAAATTTTTTATCTTTTAATTATTTTTTATTATGAAATATACATTTTTTAGAATTAGTTTCAGCTGTACAACACAGTGCAATAGTTATACTTTTTACCCCTCAAAGTGACAACCCCCCTCCCCCAGTCCGCCACCCCCCTTCCCCCAAAAAATCATACATATCTATTACAATTCCCTTGAGTCCACTCCCACACTATACTCCACGTCCCATGACTTCACTTATAGTTGACATACAATATTATACAACATCAGCTTCAGGTGTACAGTGTGGAGGTCACTTTTTAATACTATCTTATTATTTAAAAATAAACTATCCACCAGTCATAAAAACTATAGTGTATGTGCAAATATGTGTATATACACATTGTGTGTGTGTGTGTGTGTGTGTGTGTGTGTGTGTATGTATATATTAAGGGGGGGAACTTTTGCTTCCCAGATTAGTGCTAATGGACAAGAACTATTAAAAACCTAAACATTAACAAGCAGTAGGCTTAGAAAATAAACATTCTTCAATCTAAACTTATTTTGTCAATTATTTTTCATCAGAAACAATCACAAGTCACTTTATGAATGTGATATGCTATGAAATAGAATAAGCACTTTTAATTTTTAAAAACATATCTTTATCTTGACATTGAAATTAAGGTAAACTATTTATCTAAGTATCATCCAAATAGATCACTCCATAAAGATCACCTTGCTAGGAATAAAAAAGTTATCTGGAGGAGGGAAGGGACAATCTAAAATTACTAGAAATTATTCCCAATTATAATACTTAAGTATGTTTGAAAGAAAAGCAAAAGTACTTCTCTAACATGCAAGTTACATTATCTCAAAACATTGGAAGAACTCGGGAAAGTCTAAATACTATCCACATACAAGGTATTATCATTTTACCGTGTAGTAGTTATAAACTGGAGAGCACAGAATACTTCATGTCATTCTCTGGACACCCCCTTGGGAAGGCTGTTCTAAATACTTTTAAACATCCCATCCAAAAATGATCTTAACAGAACTATGTCTGAGAAATGAGTTCCTAATGGCTGATCACCTGGGGATGAGTGCATTCCAGCTGACTTGATTGAAATTACCTACTTAAATCTGTTTGCTGTGTTTCCAAGAACACAGGCCCCTGAGGTCATAGTAAGTGACCTCATAGGAGCTGAAAGATCTACCCAAAGCCCCCTTGGGCACATCTGATTCACTTCCTCTGTTGATAAGTAAAGGGGAAATCCCATTTGAACTAAGATAGCTGAGCCTCAGTTCATTGACCACTTCTTTAAATAAATCATCGGTGAGACCATAAGATTCTAGTCCAATGAAACAGTGGGCATTCTCTTAGAGGTCATGAATTTGAGAAAGCAGATGAGGTAACCTACAAAGAATGGTACCTATCAAATTTAAAAAGCAAAATTTCAAAGAAAGAAAACTAGTCTACATGATTAAAATAATGCTCCTCTGTGGCTCCACTGGGAAATGTGAACTTTTCAATAAGAAATCAACAGAGCATCCAAGTCTGAGGAAATGCATTTAGCAGCTTCTCCATTAAATTCGCCTTCCACTTCTCATTTCCCATTAGCTGCATACCTTATCCACGTTATAATTCAGAGGATTAGACCTGGGTGCATGTGGCAGGGGTGGGGTGGGGTGGGGAAAGGAACTCACTTTCAAGATGTCCACGAAAAATTCTCAGCTCCTTCAGATGATTTAATTACTATATTGCACAATTCGTGCCTGTTCACAATGATGTATTTTTTAAATTTAGTTTTTTAAGCAATTACCTAAACATATATCAAACTCAATACTTTAAGAACTTTAAACAAAAATACCCCATTTTGACAGAATAGCAAAACAAACCAAATCAGACACATTCAATATTCTGTATTAAATTCCCCAAATTCTAGAAAGGAAATATGATAAGAAATATCTGAAATAACTGTTCTGGTTATGGAATACATGCTTCACGACAAGGTGCTTAAAACAATACGATGATATATCGCATGAAAGTAGCCATGGGATATGTCCCATGGAGAATAACAGTACTGTAGTTACCTAGATAAATGCCATTCCAATTCAAAGAGATTTTTGCTTAAAAATGATAACGATCTACAAAAGACCATGTTCTTTTTAAGTTATACAAATGTTACTTGTTTTTCTTTTCTTGGCAAAAGCAAAGTCTGTATGAGATAGTCTGGGACAAAAATGGCATCCCCCCCCCCCCCCGTTATTAATCAATGTCAAGAATGAGAGTAAAACTACAATTGTTCAACACTGAGAACAAAGGCACCTTCATTTGCACAAGCAGCACACACCAAAATCACCAAAGCAGACCTGCACTGTGGGGACTGTCAGACAGAATTGGGAAAAAGTTAGCAAACAAAGGCGGGATGTGATTCTTTGCTTTGCCTACCCAAAGAGAAGAGTCCTACTTTGGGTGGCATTAGCGAAAGCACCAAAACCATTGCTGGAGACTCGAAGCGTGGAACTGGTGTCAAGGAGGAAGGCAGGAGGGCAGAGGCCTGGGGGACTGAGCTTTGTAACAGGTCACACACACCAGTGTTATTTATCCCCATCAGATGATGTTGAACATCTGCTCAAATTAGTGCTTCCCTCTTGACTAACGTCTGGCAAGGCCCACCAGCTCCCAAGCCAATGTGTCAGACAAGAGCTAAGTGGGCCGTGTGTACGCCATCCCATTGCAGGGATTCCAAAATGCCTCAGTGAAGGGAAATGCAGAGGAAGCAAAAAACTGTGGTTGCCAAAGAGGAAATTTAGATTTGTATACAATTTGAAAGGGACAAAAGGAAGAAAGCGTCTAGGGATTAGTATAATGGTGATATATCTATGGTACATGGTGTCAAGATAACATACCTGGGCCCTGTTTTCTGTTTGAGGCCTAGAGCAAGAAGATGTTTAACAGAAAAACAAACCCAGCCTTGATGTTGGGCACAGCGCTCACAGGCAAACCGTAAAAAGAGAAGAAAACTATGCAAATTCTATTAACTAACAAAGTCATACATTTTAGCTCAAGAGTAATTTTACTATCCTAAAGTTAGAGCATTAGAACACAAGACCTAAGACCTTACCAAATCACACTAGAACAAAACACCCTAAACTTGTGAGAGAGGTATCTGCCTACTCTATCAGCAAACTTAGAACAGGTAAGTTAGAAAAATAAGTCAAAGGTGGAGGGTAGAAAGGAGGTCAACAATATTAACAATCTGAATCTGAAGTTACTGACAAATCAAAAAACTCAGAGAAAGCCTAAAATGATGGTGCTGGTTTGTTTGTTTTTATGATGGAAAAGACAGCTTGAAGCTTGAATTTGGTAATTCAAGCTACAGAAAAGCAGTGAATACACTGATTGTTGAAGTTACACAGCTCCCCATTCTTCACTCTGTCTTTATAAGCAAGAGGCAAAGGATAAGGAAGCAAGCTGACATT